TGAAAAACAGTAAAAACATAGTTGTTAATGATCAATTGATGAGGTTTAACATCTGGTTGGCGACTTCAATACCAAGGTACTGAAGAAGCAGTCTGGGGACCAGGTAATAGGAGATTATGGTAACGGTACTAGAAACGGCAGAAAGGAGCTATTAGTGGAATTCGCAGATTGCAATAATTTTCAGATCATGAATACCTTCTACCGAAAACGAGGGAACCGTAAGTGGACATGGAGGGGCCCTAATGGCTAAAGTAGGAACGAAATAGACTTTAAACTGAATGCACACCCAGGCATCGTGAAGGATGTAGAAGTGCTTGGCAAGGTACGCAGTGACTATAGAAGGTACGGTCTCGAATTTGCCTAGACTTGAAAAAGGAACGACAAAAACTGATACGCAGGAAGCCAATAAATGAGCTAGCACTTAGAAGGAAACTACAGTAATTCAGAGTCTTTCTTCAAAGCAGGTTCTCGGCTCTTATTGAGGAAACCAGCCTTAGCATTGACGCAATGAATGATAATCTGGCAAATGTCATTACGGAGTGTGCAGTAGAATTTGTAGTTAAGGTACTTTGACAGGGCACTAGCAAGCTATACCAGGAGATGAAAAACCTCAAAAAAATGCGTCAGAGCATGAACGCCTTGAATACAATGGACAAAATAAAATTAGCAAATTTTTCGAAGTTGATTAATTAGCGTAAGTTATTCAATGTAAGAATGTATAACACCGAGAAAATTGAGCACTCTCTGAAGAATGGGGGAAGCGTCAAAACAGTGAAGAGAAAACTTGGGACAGGCAAAAACCAGATGTATTCAGCAAGGGTCAAGGAAGGCAAAGTAACTACCAATACGGATAGGATAGTTATAGTAGCACAGGAGTTTTACAGAGATCTGTATAGTAGCCGTGACAACCACGGCCTTAGTATTATAAGAACTAGCAGTAACCCAGATGGCATCCCACCAGTAATGACAGAAGAATTCAGAAAAGCCTTGGAGTGAATGCAGAGCTGCTAGCGAGGATCAGATAACATCAGATCTGCTAAAAGACGGAAGACAGATTGTTTTAAAAATACTGGCCACCTTGTTTGCGAAGTGTCTCCCGGCGAGAAGAGTACCAGGATCATAAAGACTGCCGACATTATCCTAATACCTAAGAAAAGAGATGACAAGGACTTGAAGAATTAGAGGCCAATCAGCTTGCTCTCTGTCACAACCAAGCTATTTACAAAAGTAATTGGTAATAGTGTTAAGACAACATTCGTATTCAATCATCCAAGGCAACAAGCAGGATTTCGGACAGGCTATACTCAACAATCGACCCCATTCATACTATCAATCATGTAATAGAAAATTGTTCAGAATACAGCCAACCATTATACATAACTTTCACAGATTACGTGAAGGTGTTTGATTCAGTAGAAATATCAGCAGTCATGCAGACACTGCGAAATTAGCGCGTCGACAAAGCATATGTAGACATCCTGGAAGAAATCTACAAGGGATCAACTGCTACCATAGTGCTCCATAAAGAAAACGACAAAATGCCAATCAAGAAGGATGTAAGGCAGGTGGATACAATCTCCCCATTGCTATTTACTGCTTGCTTACAGGAGGTTTTCAGAGGCCTAGAATGGGAAGAGTTAGGGATAATAATTATTGGAGAGTACCTTAGTAACCTGTGCTTCACCGATGGCATCGCATTGCTGAGTAATTCAGGGAACGAATTGCAACTCATTATCAAGGAGTTAGACAAGGAGAGCAGAAAGGTAGGTCCCAATATTAATCTGCAGAAAATGAAAGTAATGTGCAAGAACCTTTGAAGAGAACGACGCTTCGAGCTAGGTAATAGTCTACCTAAAGCTGTAAAAGACGTCTACTTAGGACAGGTAATAACCGCGGAGCCAAACTAAGAGAATGAAGTAACTAGAAAAATAGGAATGGGGTGGAGCACATTTGGCAGGCACTCTAAAGTCATGACTGGTAGATTGCCACTATCCCTGAAGAGGAAGGTATATAACAGCTGAATCTTGCCGGTACTTAACTTTGGAACAGAAACCTGAAAACTTACATAGAGGGTTCAGCTTAAATTTAGGACCACGCAGCGAGCGATGGAAAGAAAATTGGTAGGTGTAATATTAAAAGACAAGAGAGCAGAGTGGATCAGGGAGCAAACCAGGTTAAGGATATTATAGTTTAAATCAAAAAGAGGAAATTCACAAGGGCCTAGCATGTAGCGTGTTAACAGGATAACCGCTAGCCATTAGAAGTAACTGACTGGATTCCCAGAGAAGGCAAGCGGGTAAGGGGGAGAGAGAAAGTTGGATGGGCAGATGAGATTAAGAAGTTTGGGGGTATAAAGTGGCAGCAGCAAGCACAGGACCGAGTTGACTGGTGGAACATGGGAGAGGCCTTTGTCCTGCAGTGGATGTAGTCTGGCTAATGATCATGATAATGAACATCTGAACACCACAATATGGCTATGAGAGACGCCATAGTAGGCTGCTCCGAAAATATTGCCACTTTGCTTCTTTAACATGCACCTACATCGAAGCACATGGGCCTCAAGAATTTTCGCCTACGTTGAAAATGCGACATGGATTGGATTCCGCTATTGCAGGTCAGCAATAGAGCACCATAACCACTGTACCACCCTGGCGGGTAGTAAAAAGAGGGTTTCGGTAAGTCAGTATGCGCTGCTTGTTTTCAACCAGTTGTAAGGAAGCAAGTTCAACTGTATGAGACATATTGCTGAAAATCTGACAGCATGGCAAAGTGATTCCGTTCTCTCCCGTTGCCTACTCCTTGCTTTTTAGTGGAACCTTTCACTTGCAGACGTGGTTAGCGGATATGAAAGGTGTGAACGACAATGGAACAACCCAAATTTGCATGTGACAACTCTAGCAAATTTGGTTACCATAAGGGGCATATAATGTGACATGCAATGCGCAGGATAATCTTCGAGTTAATTGAAAATGATAATGAACAGTATTCGACTATGTAATGTGTCTGTTTGTGGCAAGAGACATTGCTTGCACAAACTTTCTTTCATTTCTTGAAAACAAAATATGGTTACTATGTATATTACTCGCAATTTTGCATGATAACACGCCCACCCAAGTTTCTACATTCTGTGCGTTTCTTGTCGTGTGTCATGTTGCTAGTTGCAGAAATTGCTTGGTGCGCCCTTCTAGGCATGTCACTGTAAAGAAACAAACAGACGAAGCAAATAAATATATAAAATTTGTCGTATATTTTTTAGCTTTATGTTCCTTATTCTTGCGCTGTTTGCCACAGTGCTCAACAATAGAGCTTCTGCTCACTACAGCTGCCCACAATGCATTTCTCATTACGCTGCACTGCTTTAGGTTTATGACCCCCATCTTTTTATTTATGAGCCCAAGTTACATGATTAGTATTTGAGTAGACCTTTCTAAAGCTGTGATTAGACTGCACATTTGCCTGTGTTGCACCTTCGTCACTACACAACACTTCGCAGTGCCTTAGACATTAGTGCATAATAAAGATTTATATTGACTCTTCCATACCAGCCGAGTTAGGTGTATAAATCGAATATTCTATTGCGTGCGTGCGTGCATGTGTGTGTGTTTGTGTTTAGATGTTAGCAGAACATGCGAAGGTTAAATAGAAATGTTATTCTTTGGGTTGAGTATATCTTAGCACACATATGAAGAATCACACTGTAATATGCTTGAACGTGGCTTATCAGACCTTGGAATTGTGTCTGGCTATTTCGATTAAAACAAACCTCTCCCTATTGCAAATCATCGGGGTGATAGACTGTGGCGAGATCTGTTCTGGCGGGTACAAGTATGACCACCACTTGAGCATTTATCCCATTGCCGAGCCAATTTAAAACACTCGTGGCCGAGATTCCTGCCCAAAATCTCACAGAATGTTAAGCCTTGAGAAACACCATGACACGGTATTTTGTATACAGACTTTATACATTGTAAAAGTGCCCAGAATTGATATTGTGATAGCAGTAGTGCTTAGTTTCTAAGTCATGTCAGTGTGAAGTAACGAAAAAAAAATAAGTTGAGTAAGTCCTGGGGGGTGAAGGCTGAAAAAAAATTAAGCAGCACATTTATCTTACCCCAGATTGAAAACTACTATTTGTGAATAAGTGCTACAAGTTTTGCACTGGAATTTTTTCTCTAGGGTCTCTAATTTAAAAAGTTCGTTAAGCAAGTGTTAATTGTTGACCTTGGCAGATCTGAAAAAATATTTTACATGCTCTGTATGGCTGAGAACAATACTAAGCTAACTAGAGATGCGTAGTGCTCATGAATTATTTGTTTGTCACTTGGTGCTTTTTAGCTGAAAGAGCCTGTACAGAACACGAGATTTGTATAAAAACCCTTACAAGCCCTGATAGGGAGTCTGTACAAGCACTTCAGGAGTTGGGTTGTAAAAAAGAAGATTTGTTCCGTGCCCTTTTGAGGCCAACACATTCTATAACCTTTGCTCTAGATTTCCAAAATACCCAGAATTCTGTGCAGAAGTTCCACCGTGGGGACTTGAAGTATCTCTGGTATTGTGCATTGTGGCTGAGAACTTCAGACAGGAGAAACTATTCCAGCACGGCCAGAGTACTCTACATTGTATGCACATCACATGTATTCAGTACAGTTGGGGCTTTCTTGCTGCCAAGTGCTCGCACAACTTTTCATTTTATGCGTAAGAGAGGGAGGAGGTAGATCACAGGTGCACTTTCCCCTTTATGTTGAACGGGTCTAAAGGGGTCAAACGCCTTAACATCCACAATTACTGGGTCAACTTATCCTACAAACATACTACGATGCATGAATGAACCTTATAGAAGTCGATTTCAATTTTCTATCACTATGTTGATTTTCTTTCTATGCCTTCTTCAATACAATGCCATCTTAGAGTCGGAGAATGCTCGAGCATATATAATTTGATGCCACAAGAAGACGGTTACTTGCTACATGTTAAGGCTGCTACGCTGTTGTCTGTTACAGGAACTGGAAGAGAGCGGTGAGCTTGAAGCTGCTTTAAATCTGTGACTTCCTACTGTGTCTTGGTCTTTCACATGAATAAATTCCATTTGTGTTACCTTGCCAGTGAATTTTCTCATTTTCTTGTGACTATGTTTTGTGACCGTGAAACCTGTTTTGTTCTGTGGATGTCTGTGCAATCAAAATACAGTGATGTCACGACGTTATGACTCTCATTCAAAGGGACACTAAAGGAAACTGCTATGTCGACGTTGGTTGTTGAAATAGCAGTCCAGAAATCCTGTAGTGTTACTTTTGTGCCAAGGAAGGGCTTATTTTGAAATGAAATCGCGTTTTAGTGGCCCGCATCCAGTTAGAGCATTTCAAATTACCCGCCTCAAGAAGCGGACAGACACACGTCACTGTTGCCATGCACAACGTTTTCCAGATTTACTGCACACTTGCCAACACTAGTAGACAGAACTACCGTAAAGCAGTGCGAGCCACAGCAGCAACAACAGCCATTGGTCGATTTGCTGCCATTGGCTCCATTATGGCAGACGTTTTTTGGTTCAATTGCACCCCGCTAGATGGCACGACCTGTCCAGTATAACCATGAGAAAAATTGAATTTTGAACTACTCGCCCTATTCCCAATAGTAATGCCCAGCAGCTCTTTTTTCATTCAAACAGAAACAAACAAGCAGCATTTTATTGTGTCTCTTGATGCACGCAAGGTTCTTTGTTTAGTGCAGCTAGATCGATTAGCAGTGAATAATTATAGGCGGTTCGTCTGACATCATCGGTATCATTTTGAGAATACCCTACTGTGGCACATGTAGTCTTGTGCATTTACCTTAATTTCTCGGTAAGTAGGACACTGCTGTTGATAATATTGTTACGGGAAGGAGACTGACTCAGAGGGGTAGTCACCGATGTATTTACAGCCGGTTAGGCGAGCAGCGCCAGCCACACAGATTAGCTCGCGCCAGTCTATCTGCTTTGTCTTATTCTGCTTCATGCACTGGCACGTAGCATGACCCCTGGCGGCGGAGGCACCTTCCCGTTGCTTTAAAGGTCGTTATCTGACGCATTATTGTAGGGTTTGATCCGCGAGACGTGTACGATATCACTGGGCCGCGTAGTAGATGATGATGGACAGATAGGGCTGATCTCGTAGGTGAGAGGTGTTACTTGGCGCAATATACGTTAGGGTCCCGTGTAATGAGACAGAAGTTTTTCGGATAGGCCCAGCCGACGATGAGGGGACCAGAGTAAAACGAGGGTACCGGGAGCGAAATGTACGTGTCTACGTTCCGCATCGTACCGATGGCATTGGTTGGTTTGCGACGCCATCACCCGAGCGCGAGCGAGCTGACGGGCATGATCGGCTCACGCAATCGCGTCGCGGGCATACTCGCTGGTGGACGAGGTGTGAGCTGAGATGACTGTGTCCAATGGTAAAGTCAGCTCTCTTCCGTACAATAAGTAGAACGGCGAAAAGCCCGCTGTGTCGTGACGGGATGAATTATATGCGAAAGTTGCGTAGGGTAAGGCAATGTCCCAGTCGGTGGTCGGGCGACACGTACATAGCGAGCATATTTGTTAAAGTGCGGTTAAATCGTTCCGTGAGGCCGTTTGTTTGAGGGTGGTAAGCGGTTGTCAGTGTGTGTTGCGTGGAACAAGAACGCAGAATGTCGGCGATGACTTGGGATCGAAATGTATGGCCACGGTCTGTGAGAAGCTGTCTCGGAGCACCGTGAATCATTATAACGTCCCGTAACAAGAAGTCAGCGACGTCGGCTGCACAGCTGGTCGGTAGAGCTCGCGTAATAGCGTAGCGTGTAGCGTAGTCTGTAATAACGGCTATCCATTTGTTTCCCAATGTTGATGTGGGAAAAGGACCAAGCAGGTCTAACCCAACACGGTAAAATGGTTCCGCGGGTATGTTAATTGGTTGAAGATGGCCAGCGGGTAGCAGCGACGGTGTTTTACGACGTTGGCATAGGTCACACGTGGCAACGTATCGGCGTACTGAACGAGCAAGGCCTGGCCAGAAAAAACGGCACCGCACGCGCTCGTACGTGCGGGATACGCAAGGTGTCCAGCCGTGGGAGCGTCGTGAAGTTCGGTGAGAACACAGCGGCGCAAATGCTTAGGCACAACAATGAGAAAGTCGGGCCCGTCTGGTCGGAAATTGCGACGGTGTAGCACACCCTTTTGAATGACAAAGTAGCGGACGGAAGCATCATTTGTGGAGGATTCCATACGGCTAATGATGTCAAGCAGCTCTGGATCACGCTTCTGTTCTTCCCCAATATTAAGGAAGTCGGACACTGACAAGATAGAGTTCTCCGTGGGCTCGTCGGTGTCCTCAGGATCGTCGACAGCGTACCGGTAGAGGCAATCTGCATCATGGTGTAGGTGGCCAGATTTGTAGACCACTGAATAGGAAAACTCTTGCAGGCGCAAAGCCCAGCGGCCAAGGCGGCCTGATGAATCTTTGAGAGAGTTGAGGCAGCAAAGTGCGTGGTGGTTGGTAACTACCGAAAATGGGCGTCCGTATAGATAAGGTCTAAATTTCGCCACCGCCCATACAAGAGCCAAGCACTCACGCTCTGTTATCGAAAAGTTACGTTCAGGGGCGGATAGGAGGTGGCTGGCATATGCAATAACGCAATCATGGCCATGTTGTTTCTGAGCCAGCACTGCACCAATGCCATGCCCACTTGCATCTGTACGGATTTCCGTAGGGGCAGCGGGGTTGAAGTGTGCCAGAATCGGAGGGGTAGTGAGAAGAGCGAGGAGAGTCGAGAACGCAGAAGCCTCTTCGGAGCCCCATGAAAACGGGACTTCTTTCTTGAGGAGCTGTGTAAGCGGCCTCGCTATGTGCGCAAAATTTTTCACGAAGCGTCAGAAGTAGGAGCATAGTCCGATAAAGCTGCGTACATCCTTCGCAGATCGTGGTACAGGAAAGTTTTTGACGGCGCTGATTTTTGCCGGGTCTGGTTGTACATCGTTGGCGTCTACTAAATGGCCAAGCACTGTGATTTGATGGCGTCCAAAGTGACATTTGGACGAGTTGAGCTGCAGGCCAGCGTGACGGAAGATTCCCAGGATGGCTGAGATGCGCTCTAAGTGAGTTTCAGGTGTTGGTGAAAAGACGATGACGTCGTCCAAGTAGCACAAACAGGTGGACCATTTGAATCCTCTGAGCAGGGAGTCCATCATTCGTTCGAAGGCGGCTGGAGCGTTACAAAGGCCGAAGGGCATGACCTTGAACTAATATAGGCCATGATGAATGCCGTCTTTTCACGATCCATTTCATCTACCTCCATCTGCCAGTAGCCGGAGCGAAGGTCTATGAAGGAAAAATAGTGGGACCCATAGAGGCAATCAAGCACATCGTCTATTCGTGGCAGAGGGTAGACGTCTTTTTTGGTAATTTTGTTTAGGTGTTGATAATCTACGCAGAAACACCATGCACCGTTTTTTTTGCGGACTAGCACTACAGGAAAAGCCCAAGGACTGCAGGATGGCTCAATGATGTCCTTGGCGAGCATTTTGTCGACCTCACTTTGGATGATGTGACGCTCGGCCGCCGACACCCGATATGGACGCCTATGAATAGGATGCTCATTACCAGTGCTTATGCGGTTGCTCATACCGGTAGCTTTCCCCAACGGATGGCCGCTGATGTCAAAAATGTCGATGAAGGACAGCAGAACCCAGTGGAGCTCATCAGTCTGCTGCGGCGTTAAGTTGGAAGCGATCATCGAAGTAATAGCGCTGTCGGAGCAAGTGGCAAGTTGGTGTTGAGCGTGGGGGTCAGAAGGAGCGGACATCGCGAAAACATTTACCGCATTGTCTTCTAAGGTGCAGAGCAACGCCAAAAAGATCCCTTGTGGCAGAACTTGAGGTGTCAAGCTAAAGTTGACAACTGGGAGGCACGTAGAATTTCCTGCGACGGACAGAATGGTGTGCGGTATTGTAATGCCACGGCTTATGAGGACATCGGTGATAGGGGTCAGAACATAGTCACCGTCGGAAACTGGTGGTATCGAAACGAGCTCTATGTAGGTCAGTGTCTGTGGAGGGAGGCGCGCGTGTCTCGTGCAGAGGCGACTTGGCCGTTGTGTAAGAGGTTCTGTTGCGGGCAAGTGTAGACGGAGCGTACTGGTCGAACAGTCTATGAGGGCAGAATGCGCGGACAAGAAGTCGAGGCCTAAGATTACGTCGTGGGGGCATTTATCAAGGACGGTGAAGAGAACAACTGTGTGTCAATCCGCAATGCTCACACGAGCGAAGCACATTCCAACAATAGATGCTATTCCACCATCCGCAACACGGACGAACTGAGTGGTCGCAGGTGTGAGAACCTTCTTGAGCTTGCGGAGAAAATCCCTCGTCATCACGGAAATTTGGGTGCCGGTGTCGACAAGAGCAGTGACATGTACGCCGTCTACTTGTACGTCTATGAGGTTCCGTTTTGTCGGTATCGTCAAAAGAGGATTTTAGGTCCGTCCGAGTGATGCAGCGCCACCTCCAGGGGCTGCAAAGCTTAGTTTTCGGTGGGGGAACCTCGTGGGAAGGCGGCGGAAGATGGTCGGCGGGGCTGTGGAGAAGGAGGCTGACGACGTTGGGGGGATGGAGAGCGGGAGTAGCGGTGTTCAGAAGCAAGTTCCTGGGCAAAATGGTTGCGGCTGGTCTCATGGCGATAGCCAGGATGTGCATACAAGGGACGAGAGGACGGTTGTGCAGGAGGACCCCAGCGACTTCTGCAATGGCGAGAAATGTGCCCGAATCTGTGACACGAGAAGCATATCGGCTTGTCATCCTGTGTTCGCCATGCGGACGGATTACGGAACATTGAGGGAGAGCCGGTCGGGAAGGGACGTGCAGGCATGTATCGGGGCTGGTAGTCAGTGCGGGGAGGCGGTGAGATAGAGTGAATTCCCAAGCTGGCGATTTCCTGCCGGACGATTGCTTGAATGAGAGGCAACGTAATTGGCGGAGAGGGGTCAGGAGACGTTGGTCCCACCTTAGCAGGAGCAGCCGCTTCAAGCTCAGCCTGACGATTCGCGTCAAGTTGTCACAGGTGTCTGGTGGATGATATGTGTGGAGACA